CATGTGTATAGCCTTTCGGGACTTTAAAAGGCATTTTTACAATAACGAAATTACAAAAACAATTACTCTATTAAATGTGGGAGAGCCATGCTTCGGCACAAACGGGCCAGACTCGACCAGAGCGACAAACGACGTTGTTCAAGTGTGATCACACAAAAAACTGACGTAAAACAAAGCTTGCGTTGTATTTCCCCTGCCTAATTACCCAAAACTCTGAATCCCCAACAATCTTCAAATTTCGAATCCCTAAAGGGCCGGTAACGTATTTGTAACGCCTCTGGTGTCCATGGGCGACGCCGATTGCTTACCATCAGGTGATCCGTTGACTCATTTACCGGCTTATTCCATAAAAAAATCTCGCTACATCAATCAAAATATACATAAAAGGTTACACACTGTGGCGTCCATTTTTCCTCTGTTTGCATAGCTATTCTCATTTTTTTCTCATTTGAAACTTCATATGTCATGGGTATCTCTTATATAGGGGGAAACGGAGAAATTTGTGGGATTTAATATCTGATTTAATATCTGTGTCCCATTTTTCATGTGGTATTTAGATGTTCTTTTGTTGTTTCATAAATACAGATTAGAGATAGAATAAATTATGTATATTTAAATCAATGGAATTTATGGTCAGAATTATTATCGTTGTTCAATTGTTTGATGACATTATTTCTTTTTAAGTTCCTATGTAACATATAGAAGGTTTTGTATAAAAGTGAGATTTGAAAGTATTAATTATAAGTATAACAAATTAGCCATAAAAAACATAAAATCACGCCTTTTTATCTCTTAAGGGGTAGGCAGAGGTGCATATTACGACACTTAATGCCACTGTACAATGTAACACCCACTTTTCTCTATTTATGTTATGAGTCTCATTTAATAGGGGGTGAGCCTATTGCCATATACCGGGCACATTTCCAGACTCCGTGCTAGTACTAAAAAAATTTGTGTTATAGTGTCAAATTAGTCAGCTCCTACGCCAAGGTGAAGTCCAAAAGTTATACAGAAATATAAATATGAGTAAAATACACATTCCGGATTGTACTTTTTTTATGACGGGGGGAAACCTTCAAAAGTCACCTAGCCTTTTTAGGGATAAAAGACCAGGGAGTGTGGGATTTTTACCTCACTAAAACCACCCTGATGGCCACCCTCAACACCTGAATGGAGGCACCGGGTCCTCTAAAAGAGACCTGATCTGAAGCCTCCAGTTTGTGACATAACACTAATATGAAACTTGTAATACAACTGGAGAAAAATATAAGTCTCATTAATACATTATCGCACTAATATTATAAATATGGTCTCTTTGTTGGGATGTTTCTCCGTCAATTACACTGAAACTACTGAACGGATTTGGACATAATTTGGTATACAGGCAGGGTATGAGCTGACTTAGGTGATAGAATATTTTTTAGCCAGATTAGATGCTCCCATGAGATAAAACAGGAATCATATTCTACGCGGACGAAGGCGCAGGCAACAGCTCGTATAAAATAATATATGTGGACCTCTGCAAATCCCTTTAATGACGCTATGTATGTTACATATCTTAAACACATTGACTAATCTAAACGATTCATTAGTGTATCGAGCAAGGATGCCACAGTTACCACACTACAGCAAACAAATCAATATCAATCAGACAGTTATTACATAATTGAATGATCAATTATTATTAATTCAACAATAAAGACTTGTATCTAATCTCAAGGCCATTTAATCCCTGTGTTCTCTATTACGCATCCATTTTAAACTGTCAAACACCAAGCGGTCACCGGTGACCGCAACCTATTATTCTATAATTGTATCTACAAAGACGGTACTTGACGAGTTAATTATCTAGGTATCTGGCCATGTTGGCGTTCCATAGTATCTGTCTACCCCATGGGAGTCAGTCAGGTTATATATGTGTCTATGATTGTGTTTCAGCGACCGTTAGTCTTTTTTATATTTAATAGGTTGTAGTTTGATAATCATCTTACTTGGTGGAAATGGGACTAATTAAACAACATTTTTTTTTTTTTTAGGGGGGAAAATCATCGAATGACTGCTCCCGCCTGGGTGAGGCGGAAGGGAGTGTCAGACTCTTACTGACTAAAAACCACCCCGTTCCTTCTCCTGCACGTCGAGACGGAGCTCCGGTTACCCATTATGTTCTCCGCGACTCGTTAGGTTCTCCGCGACTTTATTACTCTTTATTACCGCGAATCAAACTACATATTGGCAGAAATATTATAGTGTCGGTCTTTGATTAACTATAGTAATATGATATGCCACTGATTTAAATAGTTATAACGCCTTCATTGAATGACTTATCTCGCCTGTGTGGGGTGAGAGGGAGTGTCAGTCTCTTACTGACTCAAAATCACTCCGTTTTCACTCCTGTACTTCGAGCCGGAGCCCTGGTAACCTTTTATGTAATCCGCGGCTCTGTATCGGCATTAACCCTCTTGGGCCCAATTTGTGATGGTCTGAAAAAAGGGATCATGTCCGACTGAATTTAGTGAATGATATGTCTTCAGCAGTTTTCTATTGGCAGTTAAAAGTTTAAATGAGTTCATCCGCTAACTTAAATCAGGCAAGAAGCATTGAATTCCAAAAGACATAATTATTATAAGTAACAAAATATTGTTATACAGTTCCCTATTCACCTCGCATAAGTATATATAATAAACTACCTAATGAATAGTAAGGATAAAGGAATTTCGAAGAGAAATCCGTTCACAAAATTTATTACTAGTTTCGTATGAAACCAAACCACTACGCAGTCGGTTTATTGGATGATTTCACAAAAGGGTAAAGCAATTATAATTTAAGGATACTTCGGGTATTTTATTGGAATGCGGAGAATGATTTAGTGCTAGGATTTCCTAAGAAAAACTTGACATAACACAACATCCTGTATCCCCAAAGTGGTAGGTAGAGGTGTACACTACGGCACTTAATGCCACTGTACAATATAACACCTACTTTTTACCACTTATGTCCCATGTAATAAAGGATGAGCCTATTGCCATACACCGGGAACAATTCCAGACTCCGTGCTAATACTGACATTTAAAAAAAAGCAGTAATACTTTGCCCGACCCTGGAATCGAACCCGAGACCCCTTGCTTAGCAGTCACACATGCGACCACTCGGCCAAATCGGAAAAACTTATCTTTTTTTCATTATCACCCTATTCATCATCGACAGCCCGTGACGATAGACTATGAGCATTTTTTACTTGTGACTGACTGTCAGATAGGTCGTAAATTGCAGCTTAAAATGAAGGAGTCAGGCTTATTACAGAGCGTTATATACTGTCTTGTTCCAGTGGAATATGTAACAAGGGACTACGCATTATTACAGAGTCATTCCAAGAGTTGCGGGGAGCCAATGGATGCAGGTGTCGAGTTGTCATTTGACAAACACGTACAAAGGCCTACCTTTGCCCAGCAGTCGACGTCTTCCAGCTGTTGATCATAATGATGATGATTATGATGACTACGCATTCGGCGTTTACGACACTCACCGATAGCGTAGACTGTCAATAGACGTTACCAACCTTTATAATTATTTCTCAATTCATCGAAATGTGTCGAATCAATTGTTAAACAAACTTCGTTGAACTCATAATCCAGTATAAATAAAGCAAAACTTGTGAAAACAAACAAAGTATCTTAATAACTAAACTTTCGAAGACTTTATATCGTTTATTTATTCAACCATTTACAATGATATACATTTTATGAACGATCCTTTCGATACAAGTGATGTACATTGATGGTCTAATTAGTTACTAATTAGGATCTTGTTATACAAAGCCGTCAATGTATCAAGACATCAGCAATTATTCAAGACGAAGTTCGATATCTGAGTTTGAAGGGGATTAGGAACAAATCCGTGGTCCCTCATTATTTCTTATCTCCAGTGGAATTAAATGCTTGAAGAGTGTCAATAAAGACGACTTTATTTTCTTTTAATGTTAATTACTTTAAGGTTTAGTTTAAAAAAAGACATTAACTCAGGTTTTTGAAATGTATTTAAGATTGATAAATCAATTTTTTTAGTTATTTTTTTCAATCAATTTTATTTCTCTATTACAAATACATACCTAATACTCAATAGACGTATACTTAGTAATCTCATTATTACTTGATTTCTTCTTCTGTAGATAATAATTTTGTCAAATCCAAAAACCGTAATAAGTGTGGGAAAGTCATAGTTAGACACAAATAGGCTGGTTTGCCGGATTAATACCAAGGCCTCACAGCAAACTGGCGTAAAACAACTGCGTAGCTTTGTCGTCGTTTGAGTGAAGTTAGCCCAGGCCTAATCCCGAAATACTCAATACCTAAAAGGCTAGCGACGCTGTCCATCAACGATGGCGACTGCTTATCATCGAATGATCAGTCTGCCTTTACTCTTCAATGCTATAAAAATAACTCTTCAACCGACCCAAGATGTAAGCGAAATGTCTTGTTAGCATTTAAAACCAATTGACGAATATAAGGCGACGTGCTCCAACGTAGACCTCATCATCGCTTAATACAATTATTGAGCCTTTGACTGCCAATAAAAAACTGTTGAAGGTAAATTCTCCGCTAACGTCGGTCACCGGTGACCCCCGTGGCGTTTAACGTTAGATAGCGATCAAAAGACGCATCAGCGAATCAAATATTTAAAAAAAAATCGATCACCGAAGCATCCAAAATTGGAATTGCAAAATAAAAATATGAAAGTTATTAGATTATAATATCACAAATGTTAATTATTCTTTGGGGGTTACTTAATCAATTCAGTTCTGAATATTAAAAGCCACAGGTTCTGATTTTCTTTTAACAATATACTCTTTAAACTTTAGAATTTCTTACGGATTAACTTTCTGTTAACAGATAATATAAAATTTTATTCAGATTTCAAATAATATAAAAAGTTAATAATAAAAATGTTTTCGTAATTTCATTCTTAGCTAATAATAATGATGTTTGGCCAATACATACATATAGGAAATTAGCGATTATGTTGTCTCAATTTCTTTTTCTAGGTTTCGCAAAGCATTATCAAGTGTTTTGGATTTTGTGAAATATACATCAATTTAAAATGTTTCCAGTTGGTAATGAAGATGATAGTTGTTCTTGTTGTACTTCAGGATCATTTTGTTATCATTAAAATTATTGTTTTCCCCTACACTCATATCCGTCAGCTTGGACGAACAAAGTGTCTGAAAATAAAAAATTGCCAATCGTATTATTATGTTTAATCCAAGATCATGCATGTACAGTGGAAGGTACAACCGCCTGACCACCACTAAATTAATGTTTGCTTGCACCTGATGAGATCTGCTCTCTATCCCCGCCCTATGACCTTAAATTGACGAATGAAGCGGGATAGAGCGCGGGGCTGGCTCCGGTGCAGGTAGCCGAATAATCTAACTACTAAATTAACTAAAATTGCGGGTTACTCACTTGAATATACTGAGAAAAGCTCTACTAGTTTCGAATCGCAGAGGGGTTCTTGAGTGAGCTGCGCGACGTCGCCGCCATGCGCCACCGCACACGCTACTCATGAGGAAGATAGTATATTTACGTGAGTAATCCGCGATCTTAGTTAATTTAGTATGTCTCACGATAGTTATTATAAAAATCTAACTACTACTAACAAGTAAGCGATTGCACGGGTTGTGTCACTTAGCTGTGACTTTATAGTCGTTTCTGTTATTTGAGACATTTATGGTGTTTGGCTTGATGGTTTTGCCGGCCACAACCAATAAAAATTTAAAATGATTAGGCAGATCTGTCCTCCACTGTACGTATACGTGTACATATACCTAATCTTTATTACTAAAATATATAAATTGACATTTGTATCCATGTCCATATAGTAAGAATAAGAATAAGAATAAGAATAAGAATAATTTATTTGTATATACTCCACTTACAATGTTTTTAGTAGAAAGAACCACTAGGGAAATTCTTACCATCCGCCATGTCTTGACCAAATATTCCTTTGCCGGTTTCCTCACGATGGAGACAATTTATTAGGTCAATATCACAAAAGGTCGCAAAACTAAGCCATCTTTTAAGCTTTCTATGATAAGCACAATGTTCATTAAAATTGGCGCTAAAAAGAAAAATTAAATTAACATTCAATCAAAGAATAAGTAAAAAACTTTTTAGTAACATAATAATAATAGTTTGGCAATGGAGAAGTGCATGATATTTTTTTTAAATTCAATGCAATAACTGCCTGTTTGGCCGAGTGGTCGTAAGTGCGACTGCCGGGCAAGGGGTCCCGGGTTCGATTCCAGGGTCGGGCAAAGTATTACTGGGTTTTAAAAAAATCTCAGTAGTAGCACGGAGTCTTGAATTGTGCCCGGTATATGGCAATAGGATCACCCCCTATTACATGGGACTCATAACATAAATAGTGAAAAGTGGGTGTTACATTGTACAGTGGTATAATGTGCACCTCTGTCTACCCCATCGGGGATAAAATATGTAATGTTATGTTAAACTAAGTATTTAAAGATTGAAATGTATGATTAATATTGTGGTTTCTTACAGATCTCGAACACATTTCGTGTGTAAGTAGTAACAATCATAGTAAATTGGATAAATGTTTGTTGGAAGTAGATCATAGTCAACGCCTTCAAATACAAGTGTTGGTCCGTAAGTGATTAACTCTAAAGGTGGCAGTTGCATTTTACTTTGCATCTGTTCAAACTGATTCGGAGGACGAGGAGCACGTTTGTCCAGTTCTTTTTGCTCTCGCCCTTCTACATTACCCGTATCATCACCTCCCGTTGCTTGAATAATCAGTTACAAACAAATTAATTAGTGGACTGCCAATGGAAAGAAGTTCAGCTTATGAGTATTGTCGAGTATAATAGTAATTGGTAATGTATTTTCATCAACAGCCTATAAATGCCCACTGCTGAGCAAAGCCTCATCTCACACGGAGAAGGTTTGAGCGTAAAACAATTGTGATTACTAACATAGATTTTGTGAGTATTGATTTCTTGAAATAAATTATTTATTATATTATTTTTATTATTAATCACCCCGCTTGCTCAATGCGGGTTGGTGATTACAAACTTATAATTAGATATTTGCTCAGGTTTCCTCACAATGTTTTCCTTCACCGTTTGTCAGTGGTGTCTAAATAATCTTAAAAAGTACATATAACTCGGAAACAGTCACATTGGTACTTGTCGTTAGTAGGTTTCGAACCCGTATTGCATGTAAAGCGGGCGTCTCAAACTATCAGACCACCATATAATTTCTAATTATAAGTTTGAAATCGCGAACCCGCATTGAGCAAGCGTGGTGATTAATGCTCAAATCTTCTCCGTGTGAAGAGGCCTTTAGTCATCAGTAGGCACTTATAGGCTGTTGGCGTGGTGGCGTACTAGTTATATTTGAATAATACTTTTTGTGTTGGATAGTGCATTTATCGAGAAAAGCTATTGGCTATAAAAGATCATGCTATGATCGATAGAAAAGCAAAGTCAAGCAGTGGGTGAAACTACGTACAAGTAACTAATAATATAATAAAGGCGAAAGGAATGCACACACCCATACTAGGATTTTCTCTTGTAACGTGGTTGCATTTATAAACATACAAGTTCATATACACAATGATACCCAGACCCGAAACAACAATTTGTGGATCACAAAAAGAATTGCTCCGTGCGGGAATCGAACCCGCGACACGTTGCGTGGCAGCCGGTTGCCCAGCCACCACACTAGCCGTATTGTTAAGTATAATATATAATTATAACGTATATCAATATAGTTTGAACCACTTAAGGTTTCTAAATGATTTTATGGCGTAAGCCGTTAAATGACGGATCACCCGGTAAGGTATCGGCGTCGACCATGAACACCTGGAACACTAGAGGCGTTACAATGTCCTGAACTTTTATAAATATGCTTACCTTCATTTGGCCATATTACAGATAAAATACACCAGAGTGAAAGTATAAGAACACTTTTATGAAACATCTTTAGTTCTTGCTTCAGCTGTCGATATGCAACTAGCTACGTTGCTAGCTAGTTAATCGTTCATTAAGACACATAAATTGATTTCAGATGAAGATGAAGTTAATTAGGTTCTTTGTTAATCGCTTACAATCATGATAGGTAACAAACATTTTAAACTGTCAAACACCAAGCGGTTACCGGTGACCGCAAGCTATTGTTCTATAATTGTGTCTATAATGACGGTACTCAACGAGTTAATCTTGAGATTTATCTTTAGACTAAATGTCATTTAAAACACCTAATATATTTGTATTGTAACTTTCGTGAGACATACTAAATAAATTATTATGTTTTCTGCTTACTGACGTAATAATTCTCAGGCTCATATTCCTCTAGCATGGCTTAAAACTAGTCCAGTTCCTCGTCAAATTATTACGTGAGTAAACCGAAAACATAATTAATTTAGCTAATATGTTCTTTATCCAATTGCACAACGCAAAGGAAGGTAATAAAGGATCTGTTAATGTATCAATGATATTGTAAAGAACATTTTTTTTTTAGAGTAACGATATAGTTTCATCGCCTGCACTATTCGAAACTACTCTTTGAAACGAGCGCCTAGCTTAACTGACAGACGGATGGACAATTAAATTTTTTAAGTTTCAGAAGTACCTAATTAAAGATTAATTGAAATAAATGCTTTGACTTTGACTTTGAATGTATTAATCGTGATATGAATGGTTATACTATGTGATGATGCAAACCACAAAGCTTACAAATTTTAATGAATCTTACATCGGTTATGTTATAATTTCCGTGAGACATACTAAATTAATTATGTTTTTTCACTTACTCACGTAATTATTTGACAAGGAACCCGACAAGTTTCAAGCCATGCTCATATTCATGAGTAGCATTCCGTGACCCGTCGCGGCGACTGTCGCTCTACTATTAGGGATAATTGATTCTTACATCGATTGATTGAACTAAGTCTTGCGATGATAATTATGCCAGTAATGAAAATCAGTTATATACAATGGAGGGCTAGAGTTAATGTTTGCTCGCTCCTGAAGAGTTCAACTCTCTAGCTCTGCATCATCACCTTAATTTGACGAATAAAGCAACGTAGTGGGTAGAGCTAGTGCCGGTGCAGGCAGCCAAACCAAAAATTTATACCATTACAGAATAAAATCCAGAATATCTCATCTTGGTATGGCACTGACTGACTTCGATAAGCGTAGGCGCATCGCTGGTAAGCGATTGGCACCGCTATTGGCAACACCAGCATTGTCCACCATTAGGGATTAGGGATTTGAGAATATCAAAAACGTCACAGTCAAAATCATTTATTTAAATTAAGTAGACCAGGAAGGACGCTCGCCCCTCATCCCTGGGTTCAAAACCTACCAACAGCAAGTACCAATGTGACTTTTCCGAGTTATATGTACTTTCTAAGACTATTTAAACATCACCGACAAACGGTGAATGAAAATATCGTGAGGAAACCTGGGCTTAAAACTTCTAATTATAAATTTGAAATTGCCAACCTGCGTTCAGCAAGTGTAGTGATTAATACCCAAATCTTCTCCGTGTGAGAAGCCTTTGGTCAGTAGTGGCCACTTATAGGCTGTTGATAATGATAATTATGAAATGTAATCTTGAAGGATCAAACAGATTCTCTAATGGAGCTCAGTAGTCCTCATTGATAGATGTTGAGGTTAGATTTTTGTGGATTCCTAAATTAATGCCTTAAAGTAGAAATGTAATAAAGAAATTTGACAGAAAAGGGTAGTTTAATCTGCTGCCATTATCACATACAATAGACAGGTTGTTTAATTTTGATACATGTTGCAGCTATAGGCTCCAGTAGCGGCGATGGTATTACTGCCTTATAATAATTATGTTTTATTTTGATCATAAATCAATGGAATCCTGTAAGTTTATTATTTTATTTTTTTTTTAATAATATAATAATTACATAGGCTACCTATTACATGGTTTCATTAAAAATGAATCTTTAATCTGAGTTGTACTGCATGCCGATTTTGTAGTACAATTCAATAGCTTCTTTTCCAGTCGTTGTATGACTGTAATAATAATCACAAGAGTGCGACATGCCATTGTAATACAATTCTCCTGCAACAAAATATAATTAGTAATATACAAAAATACTTCCAAATTTATTTTATTTTTCATAGGATCTTTTTTTAAGGGGGGATAATTATCGAATGGCTGCTCCCGCCTGGGTGAGGCGGGAGGGAGTGTCAGACTCTTACTGACTAAAAACCACCCCGTTCCTTCTCCTGCACATCGAGCCGGGGCCCCGGTAACCCGTTAGGTTCTCCGCGACATTTTTTTTTCATTGGATAAGCTGGTAAATAACTATACGGATCACCTGATGGTAAACAATCGGCGTCGCCCATTGAGACCTGGAACACCAGGCGTTACAAGTGCGTTACCGACCTTTTGGGATTAGGAATTTGAGGATTGTTGGGGATTCAGGGATTGGGGGGCCAGGTAATTGGGGCCTCCGGTCACCTCACTTACACGACGAAACACAACGCAAGCGTTGTTTCACATCGGTCTCCTGTGAGGCCCGTGGTATCACTTCGGTCAAGCCGGTCCATTCGTGACTAAGCATCTCTTCTCGGCTCTCCCCACTTAAAAGTCCAAAATTTATTTCGAAATAAATTTTGGAATTCTCTGTATATTCACGTTAGTAAGCCGCGATTTTTAGTTAATTTATTATGTCGCAGGATAGTTATTATAAAAACAAGATACCCTAGTACAATCCGGTGAAACATATATTATACAGGTGTATATTATTGGCCTTATGTAGAGGTATATAACAGAAAATATTTTTTTACAAATAAGCATACCATAATTCGGATCGATATATCGAATATTCGATAGATCGAATAAAAC